CCCCAACCTTAAGGGCCCCCACCGACCCTGCCCTGGGCCATCGTGGAGGAGGTAAATCGCAGGATGTGCCTCCCAAGAGTCAGGGTGGAGAGCACATGGATAGGCCAAGGCTGTTAACTCATATGGTAACTCCCGCTTGCAACAAAGTCAATTCCACCTTACGGGGAATCGAACTCTGCACACTGCCGCGCTGAGCCCTATCCGCCCTCCCCTTTGCCATTGGGAGATATGCCCTGGGGGCAGCTTCTCTCTTCCTGTTCTATGAAGATAGTGTTCCTCTGAATGCATGCCAAATTAAGCCTCCACAATGCATGTGTCATAACCAACATTTTAAAAAGCGTAAAGCATGACTTCGGCCTAGTCGAGGTCTAGGTGTGAAAAAATGTCTTTTTTTTTATTTTTATTTTAATATTATTTTAAATTTAATCTAAAAATTATTTAATAATTAAAGGAAAAAATTGTAAAAAACCATAAAAAGGCATTAAAAATATAGAAGCATAAAAAAAGCACCTAGATGTGCTAAAAAAAAAATAAATAAATAAATAAAAAGGCATGAGCGAGACGTTTTGGGCCCACTTTGCGCTTAAGCTTAGTTGCCGCTTTTTAGAACACTGATCATTTTTTTTTTATTTTTATTTTAATATTATTTTAAATTTAATCTAAAAATTATTTAATAATTAAAGGAAAAAATTGTAAAAAACCATAAAAAGGCATTAAAAATATAGAAGCATAAAAAAAGCACCTAGATGTGCTAAAAAAAAAATAAATAAATAAATAAAAAGGCATGAGCGAGACGTTTTGGGCCCACTTTGCGCTTAAGCTTAGTTGCCGCTTTTTAGAACACTGATCATAACAATCATGACAAGTAATGTCAATTGAAGCCCATCACGTCCCGTTCTATGAAGATTGTGCTAATATTGGGAATGCATGCCTCATTGACTTAAGTTATCGATTCATAAGTTTATGTTCGAATTTTTCCACCTCCGTTGAATTCATATAGATGACCGCAAATTGTTAAAAATAAAACTTAGTTTATTGTCGTGTCGTATCACCCGAAGTATGAACATTAACTTCAGAGTCTACCTGTGTTCAGTCCATTATTGCATTAGAAATTTCCTAAAGACAATACCCAATTATTGTTCTGCATAGCAACATTAACTAATAACATTTGATCCATTTATATCAAACTGAACATCAAGATTGTTATTTGTTCAAAAAACCAAATAGGATATGTTGACCCCAAAAAGTGTTGCCAACAGATGTCGGTTCCACCCGCGCACACGTGGGCGAATGTCCAACACATTAAGACACGTGGACGGTCTAAAACGAGCGGTTCAAAGGGCGTGAGAGTAGTCCAATGACGCGGGACGGTGACGTTCGGAATCCGGAGGGTTCTTCGTGATCCGATTGTACAATAATTACCAACCGGTGTTCGTAAATGTATATGTAAATGTGTATAAACTCAATTTGTGTATTGCAAGTAAATGAGAGAGAGTTGAGTAAAGTGTAGTTCTTTGTATTGATTCTTGCATTAGCCTTTTGATGTTACACAAGGAAAGTATTTATAGTGGTACATGTGAAATGGGAGCCCTTGGATGAGGTGACATGTGGCCTCATCTCTTTGATTTAAACATCTTATCAGGCATGAGGTTTGACTTGCTAGCTTGCAGCGCATTTATTGCTTGTGCAGAGCCCCCATACTAGTGACAAGATTTGACCTTTATGCTTAAGACAAACGTTCCATCAATCATTCGAATAAGATCTTTATACAGACGATCTCTTGGGAGAAGTGAACATGAAGGACACTCTCTCGTGGTTCGGAGGCTCCTGTATCAGCTTCGGGGCTTCGATCATTTCACACAATACTTCCGCTTGAGGGCTTCAGCTATCTTCAACTAGCTTCAGCATCATGACTTCGGTTCATGGGCCTCGGCATGTGGACCTCGGATACGTTCACAGGCCTCGGTAAAAAGGCTCCTCGGCTAGTGGACTTCGGCTTGAAAGGATTCGGCCATTGCCCACCTCGGCAATATATGCCACCTCGGCTGGAGTGCCACGTGATTCGGCCTAAGTGGGCCATTGGCCCAGGTGGATTGGCCAAGTATGACAACACGCAACAATAGTCCCCCAAGTCTAAGTATGGTCATTCATGTAATGCGTGTACTTTAATGAAATAAAAATTGAAAGAATTTTTGAACCCCAAGACCCCAAAAAGTGTTGCCAACAGATGCCGGTCCCACCCGCGCACACGTGGGCGAATGTCCAATACGCTAAGACATGTGGACGGTCTAAAGCGAGCGGTTCAAAGGGCGTGAGAGTAGCCCAACGACGCGGGACGGTGACATTCGGAATCCGGCGGGTTGTTCGTGATCCGATTGTACAATAATTACCAACCGGTGTTCGTAAATGTATATGTGAATGTGTATAAACTCGATTTGTGTATTGCAAGTAAATGAGAGAAAGTTGAGTAAAGTATAATTCTTTGTATTGATTCTTGCATTAGCCTTTTGATGTTACACAAGGGAAGTATTTATAGTAGTACATGTGAAATGAGAGCCCTTGGATGAGGTGGCACGTTGCCTCATCCCTTTGATTTAAACATCTTATCAGGTATGAGGTTTGACTTGCTAGCTTGCAGCGCATTTATTGCTTGTGCAGAGCCCCCATACTAGTGAAAAGACTTGACCTTTATGCTTATGACAAACGTTCCATCAATCATTCGAATAAGATCTTTATGCAGACGATTTCTTGGGAGAAGTGAACATGGAGGACACTCCCTTGTGGTTCGGAGGCTCCTACATCAGCTTCGAGGCTTCGGCCATTTCACACAATACTTCCGCTTGAGGGCTTCAGCTATCTTCAACTAGTTTCAGCATCATGGCTTCGGTTCATGGGCCTCGACATGTGGACCTTGGGTGCGTTCACAGGCCTCGGTAAAAAGGCGCCTCGGCTAGTGGATTTCGGCTTGAAGGGCTTCAGCCATTGCCCACCTCGACAATATATGCCACCTCGACTGGAGTGCCAAGTGATTCGGTCTGAGTGGGCCATTGGCCCAGGTGGATTGACCAAATATGACAACACGCAACTGAATGCACTAGTAACTGAGAATTAAAGCTTCTTTTATATTACATATCAATATTTTAAGCTTAAAGTGGAAATTACTACTGTAATATACACCCAAGAACTCCACTTGGGGTTTTCTATAGCCAGTCCTGAACCCGGGTAAAGAAGAAGAGTTGTTGTAAGTTGACAGTACGACATTTCATATCCAGTCCTCTCGAAGAAGAATTCTTGTAAGTTGAACACTAATGCAAAACACTGTCAAATCTTATAATACGTATGCAACTCTATTCTATTTTTGGGAGGAGATATTGCAACAATCTTGATGTTGTTGCTAATTTATTTTGCTGCTGTTATGAGAATTATATATTTTTTGTATTTGTGATAGCAAATCTTTGTTCTCCTGTTGAAGAAAAAGAGCTTCCTTTTGGAGCCTTTGGTTATCTTCAAAAATTCTTTTGTTCTTCATATACAGCTTCAAGTTCTCCATTTCCATAATCTCCATCTTCAGCTTGCCTACCTTGGCCTTTTTTATGACTTCCTTCGACAATCTCGACATCCTGTTACATGACAATGTGTTGTTACTGAGTACTGCCATGGCGGCCCCCTGGACCAGGTTAAGAGAGAGAGGGACGACTGACCTGTTTAGCCGGTGAGCATGAACCTTGAGCAAACATGATTTTGAAACAGTTGATGATGAGCCTTGAAATGACTTCAACTCTGATTTGTATGTATATATTATTTTCTCTATCATAAGTCTCAAAAAGAGAGAATATTTGCTTTGGGGTTGAAAGGGGGATATAGGAGATATTTTTTAGATGGTGAATAGAGTTGGCCAAGAAGATGGATTTTATAGAAAGTTGTGGCTGCATGCATACATTTGTACGTGAGAGTAGGGTTGTCATTTGTCAAAATAGGCGACTCGGCTACGTGCTTCCCATGGGCTTGCCAGCTACTCCATTCAAGCCATCCGGCTCCTCTGTTTAGCTCGCATTTACCTATTTATTTCACGAATGAGGCCTCATTGAATGAGGTTGGGCCACCCAATGAGGTGATTATTTCTCATTCGATGACCTGATAGGACGGTGCCTAACAAAGCATTTCTCATATAATAGAGGTGGGAATTTTCCACTGTAATGATGGTACGAGGACTTTGCGAAGGCTTGCAAGTAGCAACTCCATTACTGGAAGAAGCGTGTACGCTGTTTCCACGCTTTATTTTGGCCTTTTAGTTCATTTTCCATTTGTGGGCACATAGAAAATGACCAGACAATGCACTCTACAACTTGAACAAGTATCTTTTTTGAATTTTTGAATATTCCCCTTTTGATGTCATGGAAATTTTGGCTTTTGGGGTCTCAAATTTCCACTGTTAATACCTAAAAGGTGGTGAATTCACTTTTGGTTAACATGATTACAGTTGAATCAATTGGCAGTGGTCTACAATCTATGCTATTGGTAGCTACATTATTTGGTCCGAGTTGGAAAAAGCAGAAAATAATTACGCACATCTATCTATTTGAATTGAATAAAAGAAAGAAATGTTATTCCTACGTTATGGTTTATAGATTGATATACAAAATGATGACATGGAAGAGAGAGAAAAAGCAAAGAAGGAAAAAAAAAAAAGGAAGGAAGAAAGAAAATCTCGACTATATATAATCCACACCTTCATTCTGTAAATGAATATGTAAATCATGATGTTCAGATAACATTAGTTATAAAAGAAATTCTACACGCAATACTTCAACTTTCAAGTCACATTCATCATTCATTTGAAAGAGGAGGTGATAAGCATTTCAGTTTTCAATAAGAGAATTGAAATTACGCCAAAGTCACTCTCCATCATTGAAGTCGTTCTTCTGTTATTTTATCCTCAATATAACCATAAGAGTTCAAAATTGGTTTGAACCTTCTCTCTGCCTTCATTTAAGTCGTCACTCTTAAATTGTCCACAAAAAGATGATATATTCACTCATTGACGTATATTTTCATTTTTCTTAGCAGATTTTATTGCAGTCGTAGTTCCTCGTATTTGCAGTATTAATCATAAAATTGTTAAAAGTTGAAAGGCCACAATTCACCGTAATGCAATCGAGAAAGTAAAAGTCGAAAAATTATACTTATACATAATTATTGTACATAATGATGTCCATAATGTGATGTAGCAATCATCCAATTGTTGATGTGTAAGTGTGAAATTTGAATTAAAGGTTGGATTCAGTGCCACATGTAATTATGGACATCATTATGTAAACAATTATGTACATATAGCATTTTCCGTAAAAATCTACCCTTGCAATCTAGAAAGTAAACTCTCATCTATTAACGAAATATTGTTATTTATTGTTATATATTTATGGTATAAATATAAAATGTGAAAGAAATAATCAAATTAGATAAAGTTCCAAAGTGGTAAGAAATGTGACTTTTTGCAACAACCCACTAACAATCATTAAAATATCCACAACTTAGTCATTAAAATTCTGCATTACTCTCTGATCATGATGAAGACTGTTACTTCTATCTTGCTTATATGAACTCATATCTTGTTTTGGGGAAAAACACACATAAAAAACATATTGCATCAATCCTCCTTTTCATATTTTGAATACTTAGATTTTTACATATATTCTGAAGTACAATTGAGAGTTCTAAAAAAATCATTCGTGATTGCTGCACAAGTGATTTACGATCGTTGTATCTTGGGAGTGATTGTCTACGAAAATCGCAACAATTATCGACAAGTAATTTCACTTTAGGACATCGTGCCGTTACAAGACTCGATCGTACGATAAGTTTTATATTTCTGCATTATATTGTTCTGAACACTACTGTAACTAATTATTTTTCCAACATTTACCACCAATGCTTATCATTACTGGTCCAAATGACAACTAACTCTCCTAATTCATTTGTCCATTGTCCAATAAAATTATGATGCATTAAAAATTAAACCAAGAAATATACCGATTTTCCAAATTATGTTACCTATCTCTAGTATAGGTGACAATATACATCCCAGTTTATTGTTCAATAAACTTGTAATGTACATTAACAAATACTTAAACATTTAAACATAAATATATTGAACAAACGGTGCCAGTACCGAACATCAGTTCTCAATTTGAAATAACAAAATTATAATTTTGAACTTTTTTTGTTACAGACCCTTAAGCTCAAGCCAAGCATCGCAAACTATAGATTCTAGAAATTCACTTAGTTCGTAAACCTCGAGTTCGAAGCACAAAACGATACAATACACAACATTCCCAATCACCTTATCTAAGACAGCCAGACCAGTCTCGTGATTCAATTAATGACATGCAAAATCGCCATAGTTACAACTCTGGGCACAAGAGAGCCATATCAATTGTTAAAACCTATCTAAAGTTTGATAAGTGATAACAGCCAGGATTAGACAATCCAACACACAAAATTAATATTGTCTAGTGCTCCTATCAAACAAACCAATCAGCCAATCAGGTAAAGGGTATTGGGATTACTCAACAGAATGTATATTGTGAATGAAGGTTAGCCCAATTCCTTGCAATCCACAAAACTGGGGGAACAATTTCATAATGATATATAAGTTACGCTTAACCAGCCAATGGATTAGCGTGTAGCGTCACACGATTGATCCTGATCTCCGCAAGAGGCCGATCTCCCGGTCCCGTTTGAGTCTGCACAAATACAATGACCCATTGATGAATGGTTGTTTCGTCCACCGTGTAACAACAGAAAAGACCATAGTGGCAAATTCATGGATAACATTTTAAAATTGGCTGCACTACTAGCATTTTTGAGGAGGAACTCAAGGGAGGCCCTACATCAGAATGAACATCCATCCAAAAATTCTGGGCAACAGCTTAATACACATTTCAAACCAATGTTTTTGATAAATCGTATCGTAGACGTCCTATTGGTTTGGCTTGGCCCATACGAAATAAGTAGCTTCCAAATACCAAGCTTAAAATGTATAAAAACCATGAACTTACCTTTTCCATAATGTCGAGTACTTCAAACCCATGAATCACTTTGCCGAAGATGGTGTACAATCCATTGAGATGAGGCTGCTTCCCATATGATATGAAAAATTGGCTTCCATTGGTATTGGGCCCGCTATTAGCCATCGATAATATGTCTCGGGCATTGTGCTGGACATAAAGCAAAGAGATACAAGTGAATTCAGTGAACACCTGAGTGGCTATATTGACCATGTTAGCAACATTACGCTTTCTAAACATGATCAAGAAATAAATATGACCAAGCAGATATTATGTTTTCCCCAATATGACTAGCATTCAGTATAACCTGAATGCCCCTGGAGCCAAATAGGCAAGATCGGCCTACAGGAATTCTGTGACAGGGCTAATGGGAGGGCAGTGCTTTATCAAATAAACAAGAAAACAATTATTTATGATATTTGTTACTTCATCAAAGAACCTCTACCTAGCCATAACAGAGTGATTGTATCATGTAAGATAACACAAGCTTGTGCCTCGTGGTGTACGCAGTGCTTAACCCTCTTCATGGCATGAGAATTAAAAAATCAATTTAAACATACAAGTCGTCGTATAGAATTGACATCAACATTGTTTTTCCCACATATGATTCAGAAATGAACATGACCAAGGACATATTTTCCCTGAATGTCTATATTCAAAATATGCTCTTGGAACAGCAAGTCAAAACTAAAATATGAAGTCCCATGTCAATTACAATCATAACTTATCCTGGCATTTGCTACGTTGTCTGTGAACTATCTTTTGCTTTAACCGACTTGACATTTACAAGAGAATAGAAACTTGTTCCTCAGTGGTTTACGTGATGCTTGTTCTACTTCTTAATGTTATCAGAATAAGAGAGTATACAGATATACCAGTGCATAATGAGATTAAAATATAACTAACCTCTACAAAGGTGGGATTTATGAAATGGAAAGAGAGCAAAAAAAATATAAAATTCATCAAGTCTAGACAAAAAAGAACCTTAAGAGATTCTCGTATCTCATCATTGTACTTTTTTCCCCATATACTTGTCCCACCTTTGCCTGTTCCAGTGGGATCACCACCTTGAATCATAAAACCCTTTATATTTCTGTGGAATATGGTTCCGTCATAATAGCCACTGGCACATAATGCCAAAAAATTCTGCACCCACAAAATTTTAACAATGAAAATAGGTAGATGTTAATTAATCACTAAAGAAATTAAATACTGATGCTGCTAACCATGCAAGAAATAGACCAACATGTATATATGGCCAACACAAACGCATATCAAAATTACAGTTGGTCAGTCACTTGGATCTAATTCATTTTCGCAATATCATTTACATATCTATAATAACATAATATAATGGGCATCCAACATTAGTACTATAACTCCTATCAGATTGTTCTTGTTTAATATTCACATGTGAACAGATACCAAAAGAAGCACTCGACAATATCAATACTAAGAAACTCTCAAAATAGAAAATGCCATAGAGATCTACAATGCGATGTCAGTGCACCATGCACGAGGTTCAGTAACATACACATACACTTCATGATACAGTAAATAAACAAATGTAACCTCAATATCAATCACACTCATTTTTTCCCCAAATTCATTTTCAACCACACATTCTCTCAATAAAATAACTATGCATGTAAATCCAAAAAAATTTCCTACTTTTTAACTAATCACTCTAAAAAAATCACTATTACAAAACTTATTTTTCCAAGAAATAATACTCAAACAGAGCCTAATATTGACGGAGATGATAGGGTGATCAAAGAAAATAAATAATAATAATAATGTTTCACAGAGAAAATGTTACATTAATGAGGAAAAATGACTAGTAGCCACCACAAGAATTACTGGATGCATTAGAGCAACAATAATAAGAAAAAGTAAGTCATTTTTACACTTTCTCTTGTTTATAATTTTCGTCTACTTTATTTATTTTTTGGGCAAGACCTAGAAGAAGACACCAAGTAAGCAATTAATTTATTTACAAATAATATTTTAGTTCTTTTTCGAAAATATATTTCTAACGCTCTTAGCCTTTTTATTCTGGATTCCATAGCGAAAAGATAAAGTTATCCTCTGAGTTAAGTTGGCTAATTTGTATCCGATTAGTGAAAGTTTGTTCAAACATTTTTAAACATGGTAAAAATCATTTTCGTTATGGTCTTGAGCCTTTTTTTTATTTTTCAAAAAATGTCAAGAAAAAAGCTAAGAAAGAGTTAAAATAAATGAGAGTTAATTTGTTGAACGGTAAAGTACTCTGAGGCCATTACAATCATATTATTTTTAAGATCCAATATTTTTATGCCATTAAATAATTATATTTCATCTACTTTGTTTTGTTGTTCAGTAGAGTTTTAAAGAATTTGTTGATATTTGTTTAGAAGATTGAGAAATTGATAGATTAATTGTTATAGAAAGCCACATATTATCCGCACTAGATAGAAATAGAGATGACTCCTCTTTCCATATCAAGAAGCAAATCACTGAGCTTTCTATCTCTCAGTATTGAAGTTTCTTAATAAAAGAACTTGAAAATTGTAAGAACTAAGAAAAGACATAAAAATATTAAGATTCCCTTTCTAAGAGAAAAAAATTTTCTTTTAAAATTTTTTAATCTTAGTAAACTTTTTGGAACTAGTTAAAGGATTTTCTATTTTGGTCACATAATTTGAAGATTTTGTAATTGGTTAAAAAACTTTTTTCACTCTCACTTAATTATTTGGTAAGAAGATTTGTCACTTTCTCTTAATTAATAGGTAGGCCTTTTCATTTCACTTAAAGATATTTTCAAACTTGCACCTTTTCCATCACTTTCTACGTAGAAAACTTTACTATAAATAAAATAAGACTTTTTACCACAAATTTTTCAAACAGAATTTTATTGCGATAAAAACTTTCTTACTACAAAGACTTTCTTTTCAAACAGAATTTAATTGGCACGAAGACTTTTTCTTACTACAAAATCTTGCCACCCGAATTGATATATATCTTGTATTTTTCGCTAGCATATCTACAAATCTTTTCTTCCTTTTTATCACTATATTTATTTGGTTTGGAATATAAAATTCCTCCACATCCTAATTCACATTCATCTATTTCTATTATTTTATATTCACTATCTAATACCAATTCAGTTGACAAGATTTTGTAGTAAGAACAAATTTTTGTGCCAATTAAATTCTGTTTGAAAAGAAAAAAGTCTTCGTAGCAATTAAATTCTATTTGAAAAATTTGTGGCAAAAATTCTTATTTTATTTATATTTAAAGTAAAGTTTTCTATGTAGAAAATGATGGAAGAGCCTATGTGCAAGTTTGAAAATGTTTTAAGTGAACTGAAAAAATCCATCTACTGATTAAGAGAAAATGACAAATTTTATTACCAAATAATTGAGTGAAGGAAAAAGGTCTTCTAAACAAATATTACAGTTTTCAAATTACGTGATCAAAATAAAAAATCTTCTAACCAATTCCAAAAAGTCTGCTAAGATAAGATAATCTTAAAAGAAAATTTTCTCTCTTAGAAAGGGAATCTTACTATTTTTCTCTTTATTTTCTCTCATAATTTTTATGTATTTTTGCTTTTTCTTACAAATTTCAGGATCTTTTACCAAGTAACTCCGGCACTGAGAAAAAAACACAAAACACACTATCACATTTATACTCAAAAATCCCTCCACAATCTTTGTAAATTCAAAGACTTCGAAATTAAAGTAAGTCCTTTTCACACTCTCTTGTTTATAATTTTCGTTTACTTTATTTATTTTTCAGGCAAGACCTAAAACAGGAAACACCAAGTAAGCAATTAATTTATTTACGGATAATATTTTAGTTCTTTTTCGAAAACATATTTCTAACACTCTTAGAGTCTTAGTCTCTTTATTCTGAATTCCATGGCCAAGGATAAAGTAATCCTCCGAGTTAAGTTGGCTAATTTGTATCCCAATAGTAGGAGTTTATTCAAGCCTTTTTAAATATGATAAAAATCTTTTTGGTTACAATCTTAAGCCTTTTTTAAAAAAAGGTTAAGAAAAAAGCTAAGAGAGTTTAAAAAAGGAAAATCAATATACTTCTAATGTCGAATCAGGATCAAGTAGGACAAAAATAAAGCAGAGGATCGAACTCTCCTTTGGTGTCAAGGTAATAGGTATGAATAGCCATCGACTTCCGGGGGTTAATTTGCTGAACAGTAAAGCCATTACAATCATATTGTTTTTAAGATCCAATATTTTTATGCCATTATATAATTATACTTCATCTACTTTACTTTGTTGTTCAGTAGAAAGTTTTAAAAAATTTGTTGATATTTGTTTAGAAAATTGAGAAATTGGTAGTTTAATTGTTATAGAAAACCACATATTATCTGCACTAGATAAAAATAGAGTTGACTGCTCTTTACAGATCAAGAAGCAAATCACTACGAAGCTAAATAAATCATTCACTCATCTATCCAATAACCATGCTTATATTTTATTACTTTTATTTGAACACAATATATTATCATCGCTATTTTGTAGATTAGATGCATCTTTTCAGCATAGCTTACCACGTCTTTAATTATTAAGAGCATATTTGGCTAAAACATAAGAACACTCTTAAAACTAAAAGGAAATACATCTTTTAAAGTAATTCCCATTCACCAACAAAAAAAAAATCACTTAAAAATTACTTTTCTAAGCTTAGCCAAACACAAGCTAATACGGGCAATCAGTGTAAATATGACACAAACACAAAAGATGGGGGAAAAAAATTGTTTGACAAATCTTTTGACAAAAGTTTTAGCAAATTTTGATAAAAGTTCAATGAAATGTATAGTTAAAAAGTTGATAAAATTTGTGAGCCCACAAAATGTGTCGTTAAAATTAGAGTTTGCCCAGTTGAAAAGGATAAATTTTTAGCAAAGTTTTATCAAACAAGCACTCAATAACCTAATTTAGCAATTTCTAAGTCCAAAAATCCAGAGAAGCATAAAAATAAACAGCTACATATGCAAATTATACACAGTTATACCAAAATTAATCTAGAAGAAAAAGGAAAAAATTGACCTCGGCCGTTTTGGGAACCTCGTCACAAAATATTTCGCACTTGATGTCACCCAAGTTTGTGTGAAGCGTCACTGACTGCAAAACCAAAAAGAATTAGGGGAAAAAAATTATTGAAGACGAGCTCTCCTAACAAAATGCATTGAAACTATTTGATGAAATAACGCCCTGAAAAAATAAGAAAGAAACCGAAAACACTTACCATTTGCACCGAAAATCAAATTCAATTGGAAAACTCAAAACAATCTTTGAGCAGTGAAATCCGGAGATTTATATAACACCGGATTTTTCCAGAGCTCTTTCGCAGTCGTTTTCTCCACTTTCCAGAGTCGCGTTCGTTGTACGCACGCCTTTTCCGTGTTTGGGTTTGCTCCATATATATAACACGTATACGTATATATAAAATTACAGACACACCCTTGAACTATTTGGCTATTACATAGAGATGTTTTGCATTTTCAAATGTTATAGAAATATCTCAAACAATTTATTTTCTACCACAGATTCTCCTTGTCAGTCAAAAGCAAATTTACCCATGTTTATTTGTATTTCACTAGAACAATTTATTATTTTTGTTTCTTAAAAGAAATATCATTGCAAATTGATTTATTTGGTTGGTTTGAAATCAATGGATTAACGTTTTTTTCTCTAAATTTTATTTATTATGTTCATAATACATAAGATTAGGGGTGGACAATGGGTCAAGTTAGGTTTTTGCGCTATGAATACGAACCAACCCAATTCAATTATGAAGCTAATCTAACTCGAATCAGGGCGGTTGCTAATAGATTATGAGTCTGTAGTTGATCGATTAAGTTCGTAACATTTATGCTTAGGCAGCGACCATATCTAAGGCTGTTATAAGGTTGATGTTGATCAAAAAATTTGTCTTTCTCCATCAACCTAATCTCTATCCCTAACCCGTAACCTACTCGTAGAATAAATTTCATCTACCTTGACCGACGAGTCTCAAAATAGCCATTGTTGTCGTCGCCTCATTTCCTCCACCTTCACTGACCTCATTTTTCTCATCCCTATCAATTTCATTTTGATCGAGTCTCTTCATCTATATTTTTTTCTTTTTGAACCTTTGTTTTGGAAAAATAGGATTTGGCTCAGGATTGCCTATTTTTATTAATTTCGAGGTTTCTCTAAATTTGAAAGCCCTCGTTTGACACCTATTAATTCTCATTAAATCACATTTTTTCAAACTGCTACTAGTTTTGTACAATATTCAACGTAATGCATTATCTATCACATGCCAGAAACCTTTAAATGTCCATAGAACCGTTGGAGGACATTTTGACCATTAAGTCATTGGTTTCTAGTCCAAAATTACTCACTATGGGGCAAAAAGGAAACTTTTTATTAATGGTAGGTGGCTACAACGGTACAAGTCAAATGAGTTTAAAATTAATTATTAGTGCACATCAATTATTTCAGAACGTAGGTCCCTTGAAAAATGAAAATTTTAAAAGAAAAAAAGAGAGAGAGATAATGGGGGCCAAACAGGGCAAAGTTACCATTCAGTAGGTTTTCATACCAATGCTCAATCCAATTAACTCTGTAGTATCTACCAATTTCACCATATCTCCATTCCCTTCGTTTTGAGATTAGGATTTCTTCGACCTCATTTTGCTAATTTCAATCAATTTCATTTCCTTCCAACAAGAACCTTTAAAGAGCTAGAAATAAATAAATAAAGGTGGTTAATTCTCTTCAAAACAAATAGTATGGAAGGTGACGGTGCGGAAGCTCATCAATGGGTGAGGTTGGGTTGTTAGTGGGTGAGGCATTGCAGTTGGGGGTTGTGTGGATTGAGAAAAGATAAATATTTTGTTAATTGATAGATTTTTAAACAGAAATTGTTAAAGGTCCTATCAGCGCACATTTATTATAAGTTTGGGACCTTCATTGCAAATTCTTTAAAAGTTTGGGTCCTTCAATGCAACACCCTTTTCAAATTATTTTAACCTTTTTCTAAAAAAATTGGTCAAACTAGATTGGTTGGACGGCAACAATCAAGAGGTCCTTCCACTGCATAAGTTCGATCAACACTGCTATAAACTAAAAGTTTGGATAAAATCATTGAAAATTTAAAACATAAAAACTGCAGCTACAATAATCCCTATATTTAATTGAAGTAATTATTTACTAACACATCACAGACAAATAATTATCTCGTTATTCATAATTTCTGCATTCGTATATTGAGAGATGGTTTGTAGAAGCCTAGAGTCCTTCCGGCTTCTAGGCCACTTGCCAACTAAAACAGTACAACTAAATTGTCATCTACAATAAATCATTGTATTTGGACAAAAATAACTCTGTAACTTCAAAATTGGTTGATAGATAAATGTCGTGAACCAATTTAGGTAAAACCCAAAATGCACTACGAGGATCCTACGCATTTATCTCCTACTTAGTTTTGCTAAAAATCATAATTTTAATAGATTTTGGTATAAATTGAACCTATAACTATAATTGAAAAATTAATAGCAGTCGTTAATCCCATGAAACGTGCTATAAAACTCAAATTGTCATATTGCAAGTACAATTTTTGCCAAGTTTCCGCTAACATTTAGCAGTAAATGAGGGGAGAGGTGAGAAACTAGAGTTTGCAAGTGCTTCTAATGAGGAAAAAGGAAGAAAGATCTCAATTCACATAGCATTTTATTATTTATATTTTACACCTTGATACAATCGAATCAAACATCAAGAATCAATCCATAAATGAATAATTACATGTTACTGCTTCATAGGCATTTGTTGCTTGAGTTTCTTTTTACAATTCTTCTTTATTATGCAAGTTTTAGTTCTTTCTCCAACCAAATAATCAGAAGTTAGTACCATGTTAAATCAGTTAGAGCCAAATTCCCGGTTCAAGCTCTTCCCATTTGCTCTTTTGAAGGCTGGGTCTGGTAACAGTCATTGCCTTCTGAAAATCTCCATATCTTAAACGTCTTGCCTGCACATAGAGAAGGAACTTTACTGGCTTCAGAGAATCCATGGTCAATTTTGAGCTGATAAATGGGAAATAAAATGAATGAGTTGCACAATGCTTGAGAGAGAGAGAGAGAGACTATGGGCAAAATCTGTAATGCTGTAAAATCAAAGCTAGCTCCTACAACTTTGAAATAATTAAGCCCCCATTGATAAAAATCAGATTTTTAATAGATTTTGATAAAAGTTGATAAAACGTGTAGAACCCATAAAATGTATGAGTATTAGAAAATGGGGGCCAAATATGGGGTAATATTTATATTTTCAATCTCAAAGAGAGGGATATTATAGCTGGACGACCTAATTTGCATTGACTGTGAGAATGTTTGTGCCAAGCTCTCTGATAGGAATCCTTGCAGCTTCTTCACATAACGCCTGTAGATCACTTCCAGAATACCCTACGAAAGCAACCTTATATTGAATTACAAATTAGATTAAAGTACTGTACAGAGGAGGTTGAAGGCAATTTGGCAAAAATTTACCCTCAAAAGATCCCTATAAGGTCAAAAAACAAAATTTTGTAGAACGCTTATTATAGCAACAACAATATAAGATGGAAGTGTGGTCATGCTAAAATGAATATGGTAAGAAATGACAATATAAACCAAGTAGAGGTGATACTGATAAAGAACAACTTAAGGGAAGAATGAATTAAGTGGTCGGAATGCTTCTTGCAGTTACTAAAAGAGGCTTTTGTTCATAAGAATGAAGCCATCTACATAAAACATGTTAGGAGGGATAAAAGAAAACTAACATGGCCTATTGTTATTGCGAAGGATCTAATTTCTTAGATCTTCTAATAGACAATGCAATGAACCTAAAGGAGTGCGGGAAAAGGATTTATGTAGCTGGCTCCAAATTTATTGAGAACAAGGCCTTGATTTGTTGTTGCGCTAATGGCCAAGTTCTCTTGTACCTCCTGGAGCACAAAATATTATTTGAACCCCTCTCTTCCAATAGTGTAGCTAACCAACAAATAAAGGTTTTAGCTCGATCGAAACTCTAGTCAATTAAGGCAAGTAGTTAAGCTATAGTGTGTGCTCCTCTCTCCTTAGAGATCGTGAATGCACTATAGAGCATTGAACCGAATCAGCAGCCATTGATTCATTAGATAAGAGGCGGTGTGAAGTCACAAGCCAAAACTGTTGACCATCTATTTGTAATTAAATCTAATCTCATAAATCCTCTAAATCTTCTTTCTTTCTCCTTCATTACAAAGACAGTGATCACTCTGTTGTCTTAATGTTGAAACTTATCTTACCTTCCGTTTCTTGCACAAGTTTCTCAAGTTCTCGATCTGAAACCAAAGAAAGGAAACAATGTCAACTAGTTTCTCTTGCGGGCACAGTAAAGTAGTAAGATAATATCCACATCGCTCAGAAACATGTTCTCACCTGGCAAAGAAAATGAACCCTTGAGTTTGTCTTTGAAAAGAAGTCTCCTGGCATTCGCATCTTGCAAAGGGATGTAAATTCTCTTCACCTGTTCCAAGATTTGAACAAAAACCAATAAGGAAATTCCACTTCAAACCGCATAGTATGTAAATTATAATCGACATTTTTCCAATATGAGTAACTCTTCATGTTAGCTAAAACACTTCCTCCCATGACCCGGAAACAAAGAATACTGAATATGCAGAGTCTCAACAATAATTAAGTGGGAATATCAGGAAGAAAATCATGCCTAGAGACTTGGCCAATTGGGAAAGTCCGTGATCTGTCATGGCAGTCAAATCATATAATTTAAATTTCTTTCATGAGGCCAAAAATTAGTTTGCTCCGTATGTCAAGTGCAAATGTGGCTGCCAACATAAGACTATCCCTCAATTTACATGAGA